ATAATTTAATATTAGGGAGTTTTGCACCTGGAAGCGTCAAAGCAATCGCCAGCACTATCGATCTTCTGTGCATACGCAACTGAGGTTTCTCATCAAAAGATCGAGATTGCAGTCGAATTATGTTCGCTATGCCGTGCAAAGCATCCCTAATGATGAAACATATCGAAGTAAAATGTCGTGGTTCTAATGTGATACATAACACGTCAACATTAATTTAATGTACATTCTGCATTAAATTTTACTGTCGTCATATTTTTCTAATCAATGTTCTATGTACTCAAGGTTCAAAATACAGTTTAACGACATTATCAGATAAAAATAATCAAAAAAGGTAATAACACTGGAGAAAGGTTGCGGCTAGCAAACGGTTTCGAGCCGTCTGTAGATCGACAATGGTGACAGTAGTGAATGAATGTTGATTGCGAACAATCCACAATAAAATTAAATCCTAGGGAATTTTCTTTATATCATGAGAATGTTTATGAAAACATCAATGTTCCTGAAAAATACTTCGATCTGAAGAAAACTTCAAAAGCATTTGCTTTGCTCGAAAATATGGATGTTTTAAAAAACATTACCTTGGCGTCGTCGGTCAGCCACTGCTCCTCGTTCTGCACGTCGGCGGCGTACACCTTGGCCGCGTCGCGCACCACCAGCATCTGCTTGGGCATCTGCGCGTGCACCTCGGCGCTGGCATTGCGCCACATGTCCTCCAGCACGTCCAGCTGCGCCCAGATGTACTGGCGCGCGCCGGGCGCCAGGCCCGTGCCGTTGGTGCGTATCTCGGCCACCAGCTCCTGGATCTGCGCACGCGAGGAGGCGCTCACGATAACGCGACGTCGATAACGACACATCCATGTTAGGAAACGTCGATGTTTAAACTTAAAACGTCGATGTTCAAAATACACCGACTTAAAACCATCGATGTTTTTAGACTGGATTAGTAACATTAAATTCGTGTATATTAAAATTTAATTTGGCAGTGTTCGTGATTATCGGTTTGCCGAATAAGGGTACGAGAAGAAGGGGCAGACCTTACGCCCACAGCGTATTTGTTGAACAAATCTCAATATACGAAATTAACATGAAGGAAAAGGAAATACAAGGGCAGGGAGGTCATCTCAGGCGAGAGAATCTGGACGATTAAGCTAGTGCAAACAGCGTTCCTTTGGTTCCAACACATGAATAACAGTGATACTATCTGTTATTATTTCATATTTTAACATTTACAGTTTTGCGATCGTAGCAATTTTTCATTCAGAAACAAAACATGGTGCAAGAAAAAAATATCGATCACAAAACATCGATGTCAAAAAACATCGATAATCGGTGTTAATACATCGATGTTTAAAACATCAATGTTTTGAGAAAAAACATCGATGTTTTGAAAACATCGACATCGGTGTGGCTTTCTTAACTCACACCTAACACTCATCGTACTGGATGCAGAGAGATTGCTCTAAGAAGGGACCGCTTACACATCTATTGCTTGGTTACTGACTTGGTTACTACATGACTGCAGGTTGTGTGCATAAGTTCAATTAGTTAATAATTTCGTTTGTACAGTGCGCGCAGAAAGTCGCTCCCATCTGAGGCGGGTCAGTACTTCCTAATAAAACTTGCATTTGTATTGGTAGCAACCATATCAATGGGAAACAAGTGTAGGGGACAACATGTCCAGCATATATTATGATTGTGGCTAGTATGCAATTTACGTTTTATTTGTTACAAGCTGCAGCACATGTTACCAACATAATTTCAATTGCACGCACTATCACCAGCAAAATGCTGCGGAGAGACTTTACTTGCGCTCTGTAGTTGGCTCACTTGTAAAGGGCTTCCACATTACCTCTCACAACCCCAACGTCCAAAATGAATTACTTTTGTTTTCCAAGCAGTAAAACTGGTACATTCTTATTCTAAATTTTCTACACTGGGAGTCACATGAAATTTCACTAGCTAGTACAACATTTACAAAACTTCAAAATTTGGAGAGCTATGGAATATTAGAAATAGGGTATTAGATACAAGACAGAGGACGATTATCTGCTAGGCGCTTTTTATTTATAAGTCCACATTGATACACGTTCTTTATAATCGTACCGAAGTCTGACTTGATAACATTTTTTGCTGGATGCAATTATTGTTAAGATGTTCCCATTGCAAAAGCGAAATTTATTAATTTTAAATTAATTTTATTTATTTATTGTTTCTTTATTCACGCATTTATTTTATTCTGATAATGGAAGCCATACTGTATCCCTGAAATCCTATTCTTATATAAAGAGGATATTTCCTGGAGACTTTGAATTTACAATACCCTTAAATGAATTATTGAAGCCTTTGTTGAACCTTCCTGTCTTTTCGAACCTGCTTCGAAACAACCATTTTTGTCACATGTCCTCCGAGACCATTGAATCGCTGACGCCAGATACGCTTATAACGCCGACGCGGCGATGTAACGGCCGCAGGGCCGGTAGTGGCACGCGGCGATTTCCGCGCAGCGTCGAGCAATGAGGTTACGAAAAGTCCAAAAACTGATTGTCGTCAAAAAACTACTTAGAATGCACTTAAAAATTACTTATGTACATTTTTTAGGGCGCTGGACAAGCTGGTAAATTTGCATGTCAATCCGAGTAACCAGCTTTGTGAGAGCGGCGTGCCAGGGCGAGTCTAAGGGAAGGGAAGTGCAGGGCAGGTCACTCACCACGTTGTAGATCTGGTTGAGTCCTTGCTTGAGCTCATCCGAGAAGCCTTCGCCAGCGCCCTCGGTGCCTCCGCCGATGGACGCCGCCTGCGCCGCCTGCGAACATCAAAGGGCTGCTTACAGGCGCCAAGCGCGGAGCGGGGCGTCCCCGCAGAGCAGCATCTCCGCGCAGGGCCCTTCACTCGCCTCGTGCATTCACAAGCGCTTTGCCCTAGCTGCTCTGTGCTGTCATTAAATCAGAGTTTATATGCTGATTGATTGTCAGATCGTTTTTTGGGGCGCGCCACTGCTATGGTCATCAGTACGGTACGTTATTATTGCGGGCCCACTGCATGGTGAGATACGCCTCCCACTAACACGCCGGCTTGCAGGATTTTCCTCAGGTATCTCCCACCAGCGGGGCACCGCCCCACCCGGTACAAATTCTACTGGCTTTCAACTGGTCTCACCCTGGGTTGAGGAAAGGACAAGGAAGAGGAAAGAAATTTCGCGCGCGGTGCGTGGTCTGTTTGTTAGGATACAGCCTGGTGTTGATCGAACAGCACGGAAACCTATCGATGAGAGTAGCTGACCCCTAAAATTATCCTTCAAACTATGTCGGAATTCGACCTATCTAGTTGGTGTCGAAAATCCTGCTACCGCCGGGACTCGAATCCTAAGACTTCTCAGCCAGAGGCTCTGCGATGACATCAGCTGTTGCGCTAAGCCACATCAGCAGGCACATAGCGACCGAGGTGTTAAGATAAATTCACACGTATTTGAATTAGCTCTGAGAATGAATATATTCGAATTTTGTGAGAGAAGATCGCTGTTGCCGAAGAGGCTGAGCGAATTTTGATGTTGGTTCAGATCTCGGTGCACTCACGGAAGCTGCGAGCAGCACAGCGACGAGCGCGAGAGCGGTCTTGTGGGTCATGGCGCTGGAAGATCCGGGAAGCACAGGAGGCGGGCGAGCAGGCGAGAGTGACGGAAGGAAGGTGCGAGCTGTCTTTATACCTCTACGGCCGCAGCTGTACCCACGTACTCGTGCGCTCCACCGACTTCAACTGTTTCTGATACCAGACAAGCGCCATTTGCCAACTCTGACTCCCACGCAATCCATTCGCTTAAAAACAAAGTCATGGCGTAATCGCACCGGGTTTCTTTTGTTTCACATGTGTTATTACGCACCATTGTTTCGTTTTCCCCGATTATAACTTTTTTGTGTAATGTATATAACTAAAAATATGGAATAAAAAAAAAAACTATTTGAGCGATGAAGGTTCAGTGATTGCTTTTTTCTCCTGAAAATAGATGTTACTGTTTGCCGCCAAAAAACTTACAGTTCTCTTAAAAATTACTTATATACTTTTTTAGGGCGCTGGACAAGCTGGTTAATTTGCATGTCAATCCGAGTACCCAGCACTGTGAGAGTTGCATGTCAGCGCGAGCCCACGGGAAGGGAAGAGCAGGGGAGGGCACTCACCACGCTGTAGGGGTGAAAAGTATAGTGAATTTAATTTTAAATAGGGTTTTTTTTTTCAGTTGACTATTTATATTTCTAGATTGTTTAGTAATATTTTATTATTTGTGTAGAAAATCAACATGTTTTATCTTTTGAATCTTTTGTAAGAATAAGAACAGCCGATATGAGGCAATATTAGGCAAGAACTTCATCATAATAATTTGATGTAGCGCCTGTGGACCTGCTCGATCAATTATAAAATTAAATTAATTACACGTGAATGAGCGCCAAGCTTTTCTTTTTTTGTGGGAATTTGTGTAGTCATATTTTCTTACTCATCTTATTTTTGCTGAAATCACACCAGGAGTTCATTTGGAAGCTCTTTTATTGCGATATTGGCTTCATTACAGTATCTACAACAATTTTCTTCTCCTTCCTCACATCCAGAGCTGAGAAAATCCATGATAATGGATAGAACATAATACCCTTTAGAATTAAATGTGGAAGTTGACTAAATTGTATTATATCAACTACGTATATCTCAGGACATGTTGACTTGTGCTTTCCCCCATGACCACCTGTCTCTGGAAATAATGATTCAATAGATAATTTTTACATCTTAGTTTATAATTTATGAAACATCAAGCACCATATTTTTTAAAGAAATGTTCAATTCACCATACGGTCATTTTTACCACTACGTATCACTAATTTCATTATAGTGTCTGTCATTTGTCGTTTTACGTTCCCAAAGCGGAAAATCACAATTTTTGAAATTATTCAAAACATTCTGCAAGCCGAATTGGTAATCGTGATTAATGAGGCGGTCGTCCTCTAACGGCCTCGGCTTAAAACCACTCTTCAGGCTTAGGTTTTCGTCTTATGGAATGGGACCAATGGGTCCCATAATTCAGCTTTCATCACTCGTCACGGTGTGAGGCGTATGCAACTATAGGCCTCAACGCCAGCGCTAGCTGAGTCTCGGCTTCCTGCTTTGAACCCAGGCCTCGCGCTGATAATCTTGAAAGTAGATACTTGGCCGATACGCTCTTACTACCTCCATTGGGATGAAACGTGGTTTATCCAAACCCTACTACTCGAGGGATTGTGGGCCAATACTCGAAATTATTTTCACTAACATAAAACAGAAGTAAAAGAATATGAAAAGCGAGTCAGAGTCGAAAGTACGTGAGCATTGCATGAAATCGACAGAGCATAAAGTAAAAACCATGAACGTTTGCTCAATGAACGTTCAAAGGCATGGCGGACTCTATGCACTGTTCAGAAATTATAGATGCAACAACATCCCATAATTTCTCGCATTATTAATAACTTCGCAATTTCCGAAAATTTAGAAAGTCCTACGAAAATAAGACCTCAGCCATATTATAAGCATGCATGAAAAAAAAATTGACCGCCTCTACCTGCGAAAAAAATTAGCTGCAATTTTTGTGAAAATATTTTTTTCATAATTGCATTAATTTTAAGTAGAAATTACGCGAAATTCTCTCGATTTTTCAACCATTATTCACTATTTTATTTAAAAAAATGTTTTTAGAGTAGATTTTATTTAAGAATAAAACTTTATCCTGAATATTGTACCTTTGGAATGTTATCTTTTTGCAATTTTCGAAAATGCAGAGAGTTTGCCGAAAATAGGACAGACACCATCTTCTTTATCGTCCTTTGCTATTATCAAGAAAAAAATACAATCCGTTTTTTAAGAAAATAATTGTTTAAAAATTGTTCATATTTACAACTAAATTAAGCGAAAATTACTCACTTTTTCGAAACATTGTGCATAAGATCAACATCAAATCAGTCGCAAAAGTAATTTCACCACTAAGTTATCTGGTACTTAACTAAACATTATTATAGCTTCAATAGAATATTATTTTTATTTGTAGAATAATAAAAAGAAAAACGATTCTCTCTATTATTTGCAATATCCAAAGCCGAAAAGCCAAATTGCGTAAATTACAACAAGGAATACACACCAAATTAAACAGGTTGGCGTTTTATGGAAGCTCAACAAGAACTTCCAAACATTGTTGCTGAACGTAGGTTAGGGTCAGAACAGCAACTACCGTCATGCAACAATGTAAAACGCGTCCCCTCAGCGCCTGGCTCCAGCGAATTTCTTCCCATTCTTAAACACCCTGTACCGTGGTCACACGACCACCCTTCACAACCCAATTGCCAACATTGACGTTTCTCATCTCATTACTACAATAATCTAAAAAATAATAGCAATAATTGCGCAAATTCAAACTATTGTACAGTCAATGTTAGTTAATTACTATAATGGCATTAATAAACCAACTTAATGAACTGTAATGCAAAAGGAATAATACGACAATTATAAGTAGAATTTATTTACTCGAATACACAATATATAACGGTTATTTAATAGAAACCCACTTGTTCTGAACGAAAAATGCAATAATTTTGGTTACAAAATATATATACATGATAGGATTTCAAATGTAGCGGCGCCAGGTGTAACTATTGTACTTTCAAATCGAATCGAACATCAATTGTCTCTTAGCAGCCGCTTCAGTAGGTGAGCTAAGAGTTCCTTGTATGATCTATAACTTCCCGACCAGTTGGTGCGGTCCTTGGTGTTTGATGCAATTATGGGATCGTGAATATGAATTTCGTGCGTCCCATTTAAAAAATATTGATTTTCCCCCTGGGTGCGCCAAATCACCAAGTTTGTCACCGTTTCCCAGGCTAGATACCCTAGGAAGCTGGCATGCCCAGCGCCAGGGAGATGGAGCCCCAGTTGCCGCGAGGACTCCTTCACTCGATCCTGCCCTGAGGTCGGAGCGCCAGGGGCCCACTGATGGGTTACCGGGTTGAACCGTCAACCAGGAGCTTAGCATCGCCTACACTTTTGGCTAACGACAAGAGTGCCGCCGTGAACTGAAGGGTCCGGGTAATCATCTACAACTCCAAACCAGACCGGATTATCCGAAATTTCGGACTTGTGGGTTTCGGATTAGCGAGATTCTATTATGTAATGGAGCGCTATTTGAATTTCCACTTAACTTTCAACGCTCAAGATTAAAGGGGGAGAAATATGTATTAACCGAAAAAAATGAACCTTCTAATCATTATTGCTTATCCTCCAAGAAAAAACGCCCTTTTCACTCCGAAAATTCAAAATGTGCCGAAAGTCCACTCAGATTGGTGTCATTTTAGTATTCCACAAATTAAAAAAGATGTTTTCTCGTGGGACGTGTCGAGCGCTGTATTCAATCAATAGAGTGGCTGAAGCGCCTCCATCTTTGAAGCAAATTGAAGCCACGTTTTTTTGTAGTCAAAGCAGCGCCCTCCTGGGAAACAAAGTATTCTATACTGCGATTTACGCAACTTTACCATTTACCATTTACGCACGTTACCATTTTATTGACATCCATGAATTTATAAAATAAATATGTAGATTTAAGTATACTACATATTACCTGCTTTATATACAGTCAAGCCGTTTTATTGTAGTGACACATTTTTGAATGCTTTGTAGGAATTCTCTTTCTCTGCTATGGATTTCAAGTTATCTCCTGAAATCCATAGGAGAGAAAGAGAATTATTTCTCAATTAATACAAGGGGCAAGATGCACACTTGCTCTTCTTGTGTTTGTCTTTTATACTTATAACTTTCCCGCATACGTACCTATAAACGGAGTAATATAGGTAGTATAGGGAAAGTTATGTAATGCTGCGGAAAATCTTTACCACTGAGGTAACCGCAGAATCCCGGTAGAACTTTATGTGAAATTTGTTACGACAAAGCGAGTTTGCCTGTTTCACAGGGGCTAGCCAACCCTGTGAAGCATCCATAACCTTGCCCCTACCCTTATTCCTACCCAATTCTAGCCGATGGGTAGATGATGTAAGGCGCGTGCGAGACGTGAACGCGAAGACGCTACCTGTTAACGATTTCCTGACTTGATTGCGACTGGGCTAGAAATACACATGTGGCGCTAGAAATACACTAGAGGGCGCTTGTATCGAATTCTCCAATAATTGTAAAATGTAAACGGAGGATTACTCCATAGTGTGCTCAACGCTCTTAAAGAGCTAGAAGACACGTTGCGTCTATAAAGACGCAGCTAATAAAAAAAATCGATTTCGAGTTTTTACCGGAAATACACGTGTTGGTGTCCCCTGATACAAAAAAAAGTGGTTATTAAAAAAATCTGGCACACGTCGAAGCTTTAAGATGTTGAAAAAAACTTTTTTTTAATTTGGGAGTATTTTACATGAATGCGATATTTGGGACACTTTCAAAATTTTCACAAAAAGGCTCCAATTGTTTCTTCGAATTTGTTGTAAAAATAGATAGGAATATGTTCTAAGGTGGGATAGGTCCGATGTTTACTGTTAACTTCGATTTTTTCAAGGTTACAAAAGTTTGAATTTTTCTAGGCATCTACACATAACTCACAACAACAATATTGAAGATAAGGAATTTTCTATCCAAATGAAATTTGTTCTCCCTAATTAGTTATTTCATTTACGTCATGCGCATTTCTTTGAAAGTGTTAGTAATTTTCGTCTAATATTGCGTGAAATATGTGCATCACAAAAAGTACTAAAACCCAGAATTACTACAAAAGGCTTCACTTTTTTTTAACTTTTGGTAGGGATGTTGTTCTAGGCAGGGATGTAGGGA